CCAGCTCACCTTCTCGCGCCGCTCTCGCCGTTGGATTCTCCTGGGCCCCCCCTGCGACCCCCCCCGGCTGCTGGCGCTGCACAGCTCCCTACGGGTGAGTGACCGTGAGTGACCAACTGACCACTGAGTGACCACTGACCAACTGACCAATGCACAGCTCGCTCCGGGTGAGTGACCAACTGACCACTGACCACTGACCAACTGACCACTGACCACTGACCAACTGACCACTGACCACTGACCAACTGACCACTGACCACTGACCAACTGACCACTGACCACTGACCAACTGACCACTGACCACTGACCAACTGACCACTGACCACTGACCAACTGACCACTGACCACTGACCAACTGACCACTGACCACTGACCAACTGACCACTGACCACTGACCAACTGACCAATGAGTGACCAACTGACCACTGAGTGACCCCTGAGTGACCCCTGGGTGACCCCTGACCCCGAGTGACCGCGCCCCTCCCCCCAGGGCGCCATTGGCCTGCAGCGCTCCGAGAGCCTCCCCCGGCGCCGTGGGGGAGGGGAGAGGGGGGCGGGGCCTCCCCAACCCCCCCGGCCCCGCTCCCAGCACGGCCACGGTGAGGGGGGAGGGGCGGGGGGGGGGTCGGTTTTTTTGGGGGCTTTTGGGGGTTTTTTTTGCATGGGAATTTGGGGGGGATTTTTTTAGATTTTTGGGGGGATTTTTGGGGGGATTTTCGGGTTTTTTGGGGGCTTTTGGGGTTTTTTTGGATGGGAATCTGGGGGGGATTTTTTTAGATTTTTGGGGGGATTTTTGGGGGGATTTTCGGGTTTTTTGGGGGCTTTTGGGGTTTTTTTGGATGGGAATTTGGGGAGGATTTTTTGAGGATTTTTGGGGGGATTTTCGGGGTTTTTGGGGTTTTTTTGGATGGGAATTTGGGGAGGATTTTTTGAGATTTTTGGGGGGATTTTCGGGGTTTTTGGGTTTGTTTTGGATGGGAATTCGGGAAGGATTTTTCGAGATTTCGGGGGGGATTTTGGGGGGATTTTGGGGGTTTTTGGTGCTGATTTTGGCCCCCAGGTGCGCTGGCGCTGCAGCTGGACCCCGAATCGTACAGGTGAGCTGGGGGTGACCCTGAAATGACCCCAAAAATGACCCTAAACCACCAAAAACTGGGCCTAAACTGACCCCAAAACCGGCCCTAAAACAGACCTAAAACTGATCCTAAAATTGACCCAAAATTGATCTAAAATCGACCTAAAACTGATCCTAAAATTGACCCAAAACTGACCTAAAATCAACCTAAAACTGACCCCAAACTGGGCTAAAACTGACCCTAAACTGACCTCAAAGTGGGCTAAAACTGATCCTAAAATTGACCCAAAACTGACCCAAAAACCGACCTAAAACTGACCGTAAAATCGACCCAAAACTGACCCTGAACTGACCTAAAACTGACCCCAAATTAACCCCAAAACCGAACCTAAAAATGGCCCAAAACTGACCCAAAACTGATCCTAAAAATGGTCCAAAACTTACCCTAAAACTGACTCCAAAATGCCCCAAAACTGACCCAAAATCACCCCCAGTCCCTCCCAGTCCCTCCCAGTTTAATCCCAGTTTAATCCCAGTTTAATCCCAGTCTCTCCCAGTTTAATCCCAGCCCCCCCAGCCCCCCCAGTTAATCCCAGTCCCTCCCAGTTAATCCCAGTTTAATCCCAGTCCCTCCCAGTTTAATCCCAGTCCCTCCCAGTT